GGGCTGGAGGTTCAAAGTGACCTTGTCCCCCAGCGGGGGGACAACGCCTGCTACTGCCGAGGGATTAGCCGCGCACCCGGGCCAAAGCGCCCCGGACCAAAGCGTCCGACGCGAAGAGCGAGCACCCGAAACCTCGCGGGTGCCGGTTGATTGACTCGTAGGGCGACGGTGCACGAACACCGGCCGAGCCGCGAGAGGGGTTACGACACCCGGACGTTGGTGTGCAACTCTCTCTGGGGAGGTAAAGGCCTCCCGCCACGCTCCGTGGCAAATTTATGGGCCGTAGGTGCAACGACCGGCGCCGGCAAAGACCTGGGTCTGCCGAGCCAGCCTACCGTGCTGCCACAGCACTAAAAAGTATAACTCACCAGTAGATTTAGGATCCCCGGGGGTTAAGTCTCCAGTTTGTATATACAAAATTGGGGAAGGATCGGCAGGGAAAATACAGTTAAATAACACCCAGAAGATCATATATGGATCTTGCTGCTGGGGGACGTGGCCCCAGCAACCAAAGTGCATCATCGTGATTAGAAATTCCTCCTGCCGTCCATGAAAAATAAATGAGTAAAATACTTGTATTGCGTAGCCATCCTGCTCAACTGCTTTCATAACGAGCTCCTTGTCTTCTCGCAATCGTGGGCCTGCAAACCTGAGATTTTTTTTTTTTTGTCTACTGTCTACAAGTGCACCACCACGTGACGGGAATCGGGGTCGTGGCTCGAACCTACAAACAAAGCGAAGAACCTGAGAGCCATCCCATCAGCCTCGACAGCCTTCATCATGACAGTTTTGTCTTGTCGCCGCTCTTCGTGTGCGAACTCAAGGGCCCAAGTACATTCCTCAACAGCCTCAATTACCACAGCGCGATCTTTTTGCAGCTCTTGACTCGCATACTCGAGGGCTGTGCCCATACTTGCAACGGCTTTGAGAACGACGTTTAGAGCTCGCCACCGCGAGAATTCATCTTATAAATTCTATCTTCTGTTAGTCTCTTGAGCTTCAGAAGTTGGCAATCCTATTTACCTTACGAGGAACGCTGTGGAGAAACGCTGTGGAGACAAAGTTCAACTTTCACTTTCTGTGTCGAAAAATGAGATTTAGTCAGATCATGAGCGAACATGAGTTATTAGGTGCGCCACCTTAAGATATCACGGTCCTCTGCAAATTTCTTATCTGCGAGGCTTAGCGTAGCTCCGCTTATTTCAACAGCCTTGAGCACTACGTCCCGGTCCTTTTTCAGGTCGTCCCCAGCCCAGAAGTGGAGAAAGTACCATGGTGCCACTCGTAGCATCTCTAGCAAAAGCGGCTTACAATTTCGCGTAAAGGTGGAAGGTCTGCCGAACGTTCTATCTAGTTCCCGTCGTCTAATTTGAAATCTTCTCGCGTCATCGTTGAGAGGTTCTCGCCAGTCACACCCCCGCTGCACCTTGTGCTCGACGCAGGATTTCATACAGTTTTTCCACTCCTCAGCTACAACCTCGTCTAGCACAAGGATTGAGCACTGCACATTCTTCACCCTAATGTTCTCGTCCACGGTCGAGGAACAAGTAGAGCAGGAGAGCACCTTTCTTTTCTTCTTATCTTGAGAATGTAGCGGTGTGATTTCGCTCGCCTCAATCGCCTGCCTCTTCTTACCGCGAGCATCATGCTGGAGGAGCGTTTCTTCGTCTTGTTCCCTCCCAAGGATGTCAGAAACATCCTGCCGCTGCGCGTGTTCATAATCGGGCAAAGACGCGAGGGCCATAACATCGCAAAGTTTCTTGTCACCCTCGAGAAAGCCCATGGGAAAGCGAAACATTTCTTCACCGATCACAATCTGAATTTGTTCAACATGCTTCAAAGGTAACGGTAGAGAGGACTCGTCCAGATCCTGCTGACGTTCCCTTCCTACAACTTGCTGGTGGGTGTCTTCCTCTCCTCCGCCGGGATCAGGGGTGTCCTTCTCCTGTACTGGATTAGTAGAACTAGAAGAGTCGCGTCCTCCAGCTCCGTTACCTCCTCCATCAGCATTACTAGATAAAGAAGCATTGTGCTGGTCTTCATGTTGCATAGTGTTGTCGCAATGCTTTCGCTTCGTCCCTCTTTTTGTCGGTGCTGGATTTACTAGCTCCTTATAAACGTGCAGCGCTAAATCCGCGACCGTGTCCGAAATGGACAAGCAAGATGAGCAATCCTCTTTGTCAGCTATACTTTTGTCATCGCGGATCTTCACCAACACACTTTTCCCGGACAACAGGTTACATGTCAAATTCACATGACATGGTCCAGAGCGTTGTGGTGCCAGCGATGGACCTTGATCTTGATCTTGGCGTAGCTCGACTGCAGGCGCTGGCGCGCCAGTTTTTATAGCATCTTCAGTTCCTCCTGCTTGCTCATGTTGATCGACCGCGGGTGTCGAGGACCCTTGTTCTTCATTCGATGTTGTCGAACCCGTGCTCGCCGAAGACAGGAATCCTTGCATGCCTGTGGCCCTCGCCACGTCAAGGAGGGTTATCGCGACGACAAAGAGAAAGGAAAGACGAGTCTTCATCTTCTTCATTTTCAATGTTGAAAGACTTACTCAGCAAGTCAAAAACCGATGATACAACCTTGATTGTCCTTATTTACCACGACTAGATATTTGTGATACAACTTATGATTATATATAAATTATATGCACTTTCATTTATACATAGTTGTGGAGAAAGTTGTAGTTGAATAAGCTGTAGTAGAATGAGAATGACATATCAGAAATCAGAATGACAAATCAGAATGAAATCAGAATGAATGAAAATCAAATCTCCAACGTTTATCGTCTCGATAAGATTGAGCAGGTGCATCATACCCTTCCGCGAAGCAGTTCTACTTTTTTTGTGTAACTCAGTAGAGGCAAAATGCGGAGTGTCTTGTTGAGGATCGCACTTGAATCAGATACAGATACATGGGCGACGTCGGCGGCCTCTCATATAGGCTATTTTTTTTTTTTCCATTTAGGACTAAGCAGTCGTGCCGTGGATGTGGAGCAGTGAGCACTCCAGATCCAGATGCAGAGGGTCTCCGCCGCAGCCACGCACCGGAGCACGGGATTGAGGAGAATTACACTTGACGACTTTAGGGACAGACTCTTGTTCGCTGATGGATACGCAGCGTCGCTGGAGGAAAAAAAGGAGTCTCCTGTTCCTTTAGGAGAATCAATGAACACGATGCTGTTTGCAGAATCCATCAAGCCGTACGCAACAAGATTGCAACATCGCTGGATGAAGAAGATTCAGAGAGTCCAAAGAGGACTATCGCGAAAGACGTCTCAAGGAAGATCATGTTGATTCATATCTATTACAGGAGCGACCGCGACCAATCATCACTTATCAAATATTGCGACAGATATTGATAACGATCATGATCGTATACTGTCGCTGATCATCTTGACGATGGTGATGATCACCCTCGTCGAGAAACATCATGGTGATGGTGACCATGTGGATATCACATGTTGGTGGAATCCAGCAACATCCTCAACAACGCTGATGGATCGATGACACTTCTCAGCTGCGGGAAAAGAGAAAAACTAGAAGACGCACCAGCGCGACACATATGAAAATTTGGAAGACGCACTAAACCAATCGACAAGTTCTTCCAACAAACTTCAAATAAAGGTAGCAACACCCCAACAACTGTAGCTACATCAAAAGAAAGATCCAAAACTAACTGTTCTGCCCGATGTTGAGTGACTACTACTACTAGTAACCCGATAGCACAAGCGCTAACTTAATCATGTAAGCACTAGAGGCGATCGATTGAGGACAAGGAAAGCAAATTTAAGTCGATCAGTGCTAGTAAAGTTCTTGCGAAAACTACAACGTACAGTTTTAGAAATCGGTTGCTCGAAAACAAAGGATTGTAAGGATAAGAAATCAGTCGCAGAATGAATCATACGGAATCTGTCAAACAAAATTGTACAGCCGTCAATGTTATGTTCGATTGCAGCTTCGGTTCTTTGAACTACACGCACACCAATAAGGCAAAATATAATTGAACAGTTGTAATTTTGAGTAACTGTAGTTTAAGTGATGACTCAAGATGATCGGACGCGCCGTCAGCAAAGGTGCATGATCCTGATAGTTTAGCTAGATTCACAAGTACAATCTTTATCTTCATTAGGAAGCCGAAGTGAAAGATGATCCAGATTCGCTCTACTTATTATTTTCCATTTCTACTTGAGAAATCAGACTAATATGATAAAGATAATCAGACTAAAATATAACACTGTACAACTTGTAGACGTTTTCATTATTTCTCCTTCGCCACAACTTCTACAATACTCCCTACACAGTTACTCCAGGAAATCCGCTTGCTCCTTTGAATTTTTTGGCCGTAGATGCCTTTCGAAGGCCAGGAGGAAGTCATCGGGTGCTGTTTCTGGGTAGAATATGTTTGCTGGTGATGGTTCTGGAACGCTGTGATTAGAATTTTTAGGGAAAGTGAAGAATCTTGATGTGCTTGGTCTCTGCTTCACGATCTTCTCATTATGTTCCCTCTAAAAACATCATTTCAGTACACTACTAAGACTGACTAGTGAGTCTAGCCGTGGCAGTGGTACATCAACTACAGCTCATAGATCTCTACTTCATTGGAAAGAACAGCAGATTTGCTGACCCCCAGATTGGTCTGAGGGAACAAAGATTATTTACCCAAGTAGAAATGGTCTCAGGAGTGATGAAAGCAGTCAGAAGTTGTGATGTTATAATAAATACGCCACAACTACTTAATTAAAAAAGTTATAATGGTCAAAAGATTTCGGAGAGGTTTTTCGAGGGATTGTCGGGGGGAGAAGGGGGGGTCC